TAACCTCTTCCAGGCACCCAAGTGTCATCGACATAGAAGTGGAGAATGAGTCTTTTACTAATGATGGGGAACTAGTCCCACAACTATCATAATTCATAGACATACAGGGAATTCTGTGCACATTTGACAAAGAAAGGTAAGCAAAGCATGGGATTAATGATTTGGGTGACTAGCTACTGTCCCCATAAAGTAATCTGGTAAGAGTCTGGCTTGTATATTCAGTTAGGACATGGTGTCTTGCATTAATATTGGAAGAAGAGTTAGTCTCTTCCATGGAGACTAATTTAATTCAATTTGCTGATTTTCATACCTGGCACACTTAGGTCTTCCCTCCTTTTTCTGAGTCCTGCTCTTCTATTCTCCTATCACACTCTTTCCCTTCCTTTTCATTGCGTAAATTCCAATGTGCTCGCCTCATTCTCTCCTTCACCTGCACCTGGTTTCATACAGCATCTGCTTCCTTTGTGGTTTCTCACTACCAACTCCCTTTTGGAGAACAAAGCCACTCATCGAAAGCACAAGTGGAGTGAGAATGCTTTTCAGAAACTTCAATATGAAAGGCTCTTCCCCGCCCCTTGAGGAATAGTTTTGTACATGAGGAAATATCCCTTTTACGATGATGTCATAGTAGTTGCAGCCAAAAAATCTATTCATAGAAAGCAGGATCCATTGTATTCAGGCGGCTATTCAAACACGAAAGAAGACTGCCCCCTACTGGTGATCAGGGACAAAGACATCCAGCTGGTCTGCAGAGCCTGCTTCTTGGTGTTCTAGGCAAAAAGGCTGTCCTTGCCATCTACTACTTAAGAGGTGCAAAGAGGCTCTTTCCTGGAAAGGAGTGACTCATTATCGACCAAGCCCACTCTCCTCAATTTTTTTTTCCTAGAAAAGCAAAATTCTCCCAACCTCTAGGAGGCCATGCCCTCTATAGCTGATGGGCGGCCTGTTCAGTTGATCAGAGCTCCTGGATCTTCACTCCCTTCATTCATGTAGGACACATGTAGCAAAAGCCAGCACTTCTGAGCACGAAAGTGCAAAGGAGTCAGGAAATAAGTTCCGTCAGCAGGGGCACTCACCTTTTCTTAACAGTAACCTGTCTGTTTTTCAAAGTGTCTCTTATTAACAGATAAGGTTGCACACATTAGAATTAAGATAACCTTCTCGATATCACTTTAAAGGTACCACTTGAATCCATCCCGCCATGTGCATTGAAAATTCAAGGGAGAGCACAGGCAGAAATGACTGCATTTCAGAGGATACCTTTGTTGCTAACTGGCAGCTTATTTGGTGGAATTTAGTAAACTGACAGCACTTTGGGTAGGATGAGACAAGTTCAGGAAGCCCCATCTTGTCATTGAAGAAGGTAACCCGGAAGAGTGTGCGAATTGCTCAGGTGGCTGGAGGTGCTTCAACTTAGCTTGTAACCTTCATTTTCCTACCCCAGGTTACAGAGCATCCTTTAGATAGCTTCTCTCCCAAAGATGGATTCAAGGCTCCAGTTTACAAGTGAGTGATTTTTGTTCTTTTCCTTAGCTCTGGTGGGGACCTATCTTGGAGCAGGACAGCATGGGGAATTTCTTGGATTCACCTGGATGTTTTTGTGATTTCCTGACATCTTTCCAATATCAGAGACTGTCCATTCCTTGATAAGTGCTCATTTTTTAAAACATAACCTTTTTAGGAGGCTGTGTTTCATTGTATTTTCAGGACATAAAGTTCTGTTTTGTTCCCTATTGCCAACTTGCCCTGAAAATCTCTATGGTCATGCCATGTTTCATATCTCAGACTTTTTGTGGTTTTTGAGTTAGTGGGTTTGCATGCAGGGTCCTGGGGTTCAGTCTGGGAAAGGTTTCACCAGAGCTCCCCTTCCAGCAGCACATGGCAAGTTTCTCCATGACACAGGGGCATCAGTTACATTTAAAGAACAGGTTTATTTGGGAAAGGACAGAGGAGTAAAAGACAATTGCACAGACACACACAGGCAGGAAGAGCTGCTCTGAAAGGGACAGGTTTGCTGATAGTAGCCTGCGTGGTCCAGACAGATGGCCTGAGGAGAGCGGCCTCTGCTGAGGGAAGTCAGTGCCAAAAATTCCAGTTATAGTGAAAAGTCACAGGCAGGCAGAAGGCTGCTGCCCTGAAAAGGGACAGAATTGGTGGAATGAAGCACCTGCATAGTCACTGGTGGGCAAAGGACTGCTGCCTTCTGTGGGGCAGTGCTGTGTTTTATCATCTTCTTTCAGTAGAGAGGGGCTCATCTTGCTGAGTGGATGGTGTTTTCCTCAATCCCCATATTTAGGAAAGAGCAGGTCTCTGCTCTTGACACTCCCTACAGCCTTCTACCCCATCTCCTTGTGGAGACAGTTTCCTGACTTTGTATCTTCCTTTCAGGTTTTCTATTCTTATCCTCCATCAATAGCAACCCAGTCCCGTAATTTGTTGCACTGAATTCTGCTTAAGTGAAACTTGTTTTGAGTCAAGTAGATTCCATCTGATGTCTAAGATGCCATGTTGAGTCTTTTAGGTAAAAATTAGACCATCTGACTTAGTCATTCCTAACAAGGTGGCAGGAAGTGATGTCTGTGGATGAGGGGGGGTAGGACCCACAGAGCAGGACCCTAACCTCAGAGTGTCGCTCACCATCAGTCAATAAGACCACTTGGGAATCAACCCAAAAGTGTCACCACTACTGACTAACCTAAGGCCACTTCCCACCTGACTGTCAATTCTCATGTGCCCTGACCCTGGAGGAACCTACCTTGGGGAGCCCTTGGTATGTGGATCTAGATCATGACTCCTGTCCTAGACCAAATACTTTCTTGACTGTATTACACCCTGGTCATTTCTCCTCCATTGGCTTTAACCTCCACGCTCTAACCATTCCACTCCCAGCAAAATCACATCTCGCTTTCTCTTTCACAACACTGGAATCACATTTTTCTTTTTTTACATTTTTTTCTTTTCTTTTTCGAGGAAAGTTGAAATGAGAATCAAAAAACCCCCTGATGTCTCGAAAGCTAAAGACAACATGGTGAAGTCCTTTCACCATTCTTTCACTTCTCTTTTATTAACCTCAGGGTGGATGTAGAGGGTAATGGAGGAATAGTCACTCAAAATATACCTAGTGAACCACTATAAAATATAAAATATGAAAATAAACTTTTGTTGTTATTTAACTTCAGGTGAATTATCTTAAGTAAGTAAATTAAAAAAGGCATTTTTTCCCCTGGCAAAATTGCTTGCTTCCTAATATATTCTTGTCATGAGACAAAAATGGATGAGCAAACATGCCCAATAGAAATATGAGGATGATACTTACCTGGCAGGGAAGATACATGAAATATGAAGATCAGGAGTCTCTCTGGTGGTGCAAGGGGTTAAGTTGCCGCACTATGAAGCTCTCTGTAGCCACTGCAGCACATGTTTGATCCCAGGCCAGGGAGGTGACGCACATGGTGCAGCAGACCTCTCCTATCTTGCCTGCTATACCCCCTCAGCAGTGTATCTCAGATGATCTGCTGTTCTGCTTCTCACTCTGTCTCTAGTGAATCCTCTCATCACTACATCTCTGGCTTGTACCACAGTTTTTGTACACATAAATAAATAATTTTTTTAAGAGCAATATTGGTATTGAATAAGCAATAGAAGGTTACTGTTTTCTTTAAGTTGGTGGAAGTTTCTCCTTAGATATCTCCTCAGTGAATCTCCTGTGAAGACCTCAGAACACTTAAACAAGAGTTTAAGTAAGAGTGAGCAAGGCAAATTCTACTAGGGCCCTCCCTGGTGGCACAACGGGGTAAAGTGCAGCTCTGTGAAGCTCTCCCCAGTCACTGTGCACCAAGTTTGATCCCCAGCCAGGGAGGTGACCTAAATGGTGTGGCAGATTTCTCCTAACCTGACCTGCCCGCTGCTCCCCTCAACAGTGTACTTCATCTATCTGCCTGTTCTGTTCCCCCCTCTACCTGGTGAATCCATTCATTGTCCCTGTACCTCTGGCCTGTACCCCAGTTCTGTATGCATAAATAAATAAATCTTAAAGAAAAAACTCTCCTGGCAAAATAGGATCTGCCTACAAAATGTGAACCTATTACAATGGGATGATCCCTTCTACTTAGACCAATAAAAAGTTTGCTGTCAGCTTCTGAAGGCAATGGACGCCTTCTGTATCTGAGGACCTGGTTCTGAAGAGGAGTCACCACTGAGAACTGAGGTCCTTCACACATACTCTCTCGAGGTAATGATGAAGATGAGGATTCTGGAAGATTATCTTACCAAGGAAGAATTCTAAGGGAATTCTAAGGACTTAGGGCTGTGGTGAGCTTACCATTAGTGTGAACTAAGGAGAGTTTGGGTTGTGGACCCTGCCGCTCCAGACACAAAGTATTGTTAGGTGAGGTTTCTAACTGTGAGTGAGGTGGTACTGGGAAAATAAAACAACTTAAAGTCTCCACACCCACATGCTCCTGAGAAGAAGCAGGACTTAAGCTGAATGTCCTAAGCTCACACAGAACTTACTTATTCTATGTCTGGCAAATACCTAAACAACACACAGACATCCTTTGGGTCAGGGGAGTCTGCCTTCCTATAAAGTAAGAATGGTACATTAGACTCAGTGTCAAACTTTGTTTCTGACACAGAAAAGAGCAGTGTTTATTGCTTGATGGATCAATGTGAGTGGGTGAGTATTGACAACACTTCAGTCTTTAACACAAACTTGTTTCTCATTTAATTGACAAGTATCTACTTGGATTGGCACATCCAAAATCTACTAGGAAAATTACAATTTGGTTGAATAAATTAACAAATTCGACAAATGACGTTGAGATAGACAAAATGAAGATTGCACAAATGAAAGCAAAAAAAAGGGAAATGAAAAAGTAAAGAAATGTGCAGAAAATGAAATTAATTTTCCCTATTTAAAGGCCGTGCTTGGGGGAATGTTTCAGAGAACCTAGGGTTCAGCCATCCAGCCTGCACCAGACCAGCCTGCTCCTGGCTTTCCCATGGCCCTCCTGCTGTCTCTCCTGGCGGCCCTGGCAGCCTTCAGCTGTTGCCCTGGGGGCTCTCTGGGCTGTAACCTGCCTCCAGACGACGTCCCATTGAGCAGGGAGAACTTCCAGCTTCTGGATCAAATGAGAACCTCTGCTTTCTTCTGTCAGGAGGACAGAAAAAACTTCAGATTCCCTGGGGAGATGTTGCAGGGCAGCCTGTCCCAGAAGGCCCAGGCCATGTCTGTCTTGAAGGAGATGCTATGGCAGACCTTCCTCCTGTTCTGCACAGAGCAGTCCTCTGCTGCCTGGAACCAGACCCTGCTGAAAGAGCTGCAAGCTGGACTCTATAGTCAGTGGGAAGAACTGAGAGGTTGCTTGGTGGAGGAGACTGGAGAGGAAGACTCGGCTCTGAGCGTGGAGCGCCCCACCCAGGCTGTGAAGAGATACTTCACAGGAATCCGTCTCTACCTGAAAGGGAAGAAACACAGTGACTGTGCCTGGAAGGTGGTGACCGTGGAAGTCACGAGACCCTTCTCATTACCGATCTGGAAAGAAAAACTCAGCATGAAGGATGGAGACCTGGGCTCACCGAGGTGACTCTCCTGGACTAATATGTCTCGTCACCCCTGCACGTGGCTTAGGTCATTTCAAAAGGCTCTTATTTTTGCTTTAGTCACAGAATTCACTGAATTGAATTAGGAAATGTTTTTTTCTGTAGAGTTAAGCATGAATATGTTGAGAAATTCAGCTCCAGGATTATCAGTTCCTAAGGAACACCACCCTGATATTTATTTACCTACTGATTTATAGGTATTATGCTTATTTATTATTTACTTATATATTTACTTTATTTATATTTCCATTCTTTTTGTATCTTATTTATGAAATTTGAACTTATTACTTGTTCAGCACTGCATCATATTAAAATATTTAAACAAGTTTGTTTATCTCCATTTACTTAATTTGTATTAGGTTTTGTTTATTAAATTATTTTTTTAAGAAATCTTCCTGAACTATTCTTATATTCTTCTTAACAATTTTATTATTTATAATAACACAGAAGTATGGACTATAAATTTTATTTGCCATTTCATTCAATTCAGGTTTTCATTTTAAATTGAGTATCTAATGATAGATTTCATAATTATCCTTAAGAAATACATGTAAGGGAGTCTTAGGAAGATGGTGACAACTCAAGAGCTAGAATCACCTCGTTCAGACATGAAAACTGCTGCCAAAACACAGCCAA